TGACCTGTTAGGTCGGTATCCTGTTTAGAGTATGATATGATACGTAATATGCTAGATTGGTTTGATTGGATGTGCATTATTATATGATTGTATGTTTATGTGCACATGGTTGTTTGACTGGGGTTGGGTTGAGGCGGGTCCTACTTTGTGCTGTAGGCCAACATACCCAGGGAGGACCGGTTATTCCGAAGGCCCAGCGAGCGGACCAGATAGGTTGTAGGCCCCACGAGGGCGGACCAGACGTGTCGAGGCTCGGAGAGTGGACCAGGCCGACTGAAGGCCCGATGCGGGCGGACCAGTCATACTGTAGACTCAGAGAGTGGACCAGGTGGGTTGAAGGCCCAGTGCGGGCAGACCAACCACACTTCAGACTCAAGGGACATGACTAGACTCAGAGGGTGGACCAGGTGGAATGAAGGCCCGATACAGCGGACCAGTCACACAGTAGACCCGAAATGCATGGTTGTTATGTGATTTGTTATGATATAGCATGTTATGTGTGTATGGTATATGTGGTTGGTATTTTGGGGGTATCTCACTAAGCTTTCGGGCTTACAGTTTAGTTTAATGTTTTTCAGGTTCTTCAGGAGACCGTGGCAACGCAAAGGCATGATCGTACCGCTCCTCATGTTTATGTTTTATGTTATGGTTCTGGGAATACTCTGATAATAAATGTATTGAAAACCATTTTGTAAAAACTTAAAGAAATTGAGAGGTTTTGAAAAGTTTAATTTGGCTTGAATTTATGTCGTTACATGATAAAAGTAGACAAATTCCCGCGCGTTGCACAGCGTAGGTTAAAAATATATTGTTAATTTGTTAAAAAAAACATATGTTTGAAATGATATATATATATATATATATATATATATATATATATATATTAAAGATGACCACCTTTTGCAATAGTGAACCTGGTTCCTTTTTGGCGGAAATGGTCGCCCGTGCTAAGCACGACCCATGGAGGGTAATTTAAGTATTTCCTTTATCGTTGTCTAAATAAATAAATATTTCATTAATATATAAATTCCACGTGTGGCTTTTATCAGTAAGGAGATGGAAGTACATTGATATTGTGGGCAAGAAAAGTAAATTACATTGATATTAGGGATAAGGAAATGAAATTACAATGTTATTACAAATAAATTATTTGTTATCAGCCAACGAGGAACAGAGAGTGAGAGTCATGATGTCAGCCTCTAGCAAAAATGAGTTTATTGTTTTATTGAACTCCACCATTGATTTCATATAATTCATAACATAACAAGTTATCTGGCTAGAAGCATTGTTATTTTGTAAGGATTGTACTATATTAACTCAAATTTTAGTAACTTTTTAATCAATCCAATTATGCGCATTGTAGTTTGGTTCCTTTCGCATCAGGGTATTGTACTTTTAAAAATATACCAACTTTAAGCGGTGAAAGTTGCATTGTATGCAAATGATATTGCTATTGTTCAGTATATATTTTAGGAATGTTAAAGTGGGATGCTATGATAAATAAGTAAATGGAAGTATGTGGCCATTTTTTTGCATTTACACCTTTTTACCTTCAACATTGTTTAAATTTGAAGTACATTGCTACTATGTATAAAGAGTTTTAGGTACGTTTCGATTATCAGTAAAGAATGAAGATGTTGCTATTATATTGGTAAAGAGATGAAAGTAGATTTTTATTACAGTTAAGAAAATGAAATTTACATTTATATTATTGGTACCCCATTAATACTTGTATGTTATTTTTACATTAAATTTCTAGTGAAAAAGACGATTTACCACTCATAACTGAAGGGTTATAAATTGACAAGTATTGAGTGTAATATTAAACTGAGCCTACTCTTTTCTACAAAAAGTTTCCAAGATCTTTGTTTTAAACTTCTGTTTATTCCAAAATCATACCAGAGCTTTGAGTACTATCCAAAGAATTGTTTTAAAGAAGAGAAATCATTGGATTGCTTCATCATTGCTTGTGTAAAGGGTTGAAAATCTACTAAAAGTGACATCTTCCCTTTTATTATTGACCTTGAAGTAATCACATATACATGGTAGTAACCCTCCATCACTTCCATATCATTATTTAAAATATTATTGCTCTACATAGACAAAGTTATCCCAATCAATTACAAGTCGGTGTTAATAAGTATGTTTCCATCAGAAACATAAAATAAAAGTAGCCCTAGCTAGATAGACTGTAAAATACTATTAAGTGTTAGAAAGTGAAATATACAACTCAATTGCACCAGCAAGTTTTTAGTTATGGCATCGTACTTTGAAATGCTACAGTTTATAGCAATCTCCTCAAAATACAATAATTTCACAGCTACGACCGAGAGATTTGTTGGAGTATAATTTCCTATAAGAGAAAACAAAGAGTGCAATGTTAATATCGGGTAGATTCTGTAAAGTAACAATTCCTCAGTAAGAAGAATTAAATGTTAGATATTGTAATACATTGAAATGGAAGTATGATGTTAAAATATGAAAATAAATACAAGTACGTCTTGAAGACTTATCACATCAAACACTTAATGCTTATGCAAAAGTTTTTAACTCTACTTGAGATACCAATAGGTTGCAGTGTAATAGAATAATGCCTAAAACCGATAAGCTTTGTCTCCTTTGTTGTGGTTAAGTAACATAATTTTTTGGCAGAATGAAAGTGCAACATGAAATATGTGTATAACATTAAAGAAAGAAACAAATATTTAATCTAAAGCTATAGAGGTTAACACAGTCTGACTCACAGACTGTCCAAAAAAGTCTGGTCTAATTTGATCAAAGGCAGCATGTCAAATGTATGTTGTGATTTTGGAATGTTGGAAACGGCCTATTTGTTCTGGCCTATTTGTTCTGACATTTTTAAAGTAAATAACTCTATGTAACTTCAGTATAAAATTGATATACATTATAAATTACCTACAGTTTGTGATCTTTTACATTTTTATAGAATGTTAAGCATCACGTATCTATTAATTAAAATTATATAAAAAGAAAACAAACAAAATGTATAACAATTATTAGAAAAAACAAGAACTACAAAATGCATTCAATTACTATAATATTTTTCAAGATAAAACAATTATAAGAATGAAAAAAATATTGAAATATTACGGTCGAAAAAAATCTCATTTAGTCAAAGCCCTGTCAAATGTGTGAAGAGATTTAGGTCCTATGTTATATCTTTATCGTCTTATTTCACCACATATTCTTATTCTGTGTTGCTATTTTTATTGGTTTTGGTTCAATGGTTTGTGATGCATCCTTAATAACAGTAGAAGCCTAAACTTATGAGAGATATTAGACTACTAAAACTTATATTAGGGTATGATGTTGAAATTTTCCATTAACATATATAATAATGAAATATTCATCTCCTAAGTTAAAATAGGAAATATTTTCCAAAATATTCAACAGCAGATTGTATATTCACAAATCAAAAGCATAGAAACATGTTAAAGTTGATTGATTTTTTATTAACATATTTCATATGGCTATATGATTCTTTTTTTTCCAACATATTTCATATGGTTCATTGATCCATTACTTGTTCCACAAAACTAATGAACTGCTAACCCTCTATTGGTCAATATATTTTAGACGCCATAACAGCCATGAAGAAGCTGAAAAAATCCAAGTCAAAATGCAAGTTGTTAACAAGCGAGAATTGCCAATAAGCTATCTGTTACAAATGTAAAGCATTTATCAATAAAGAGACATTAGGCCAATCCAACCATTAACTAAAAGATGACAACAAAAAGATAAGTTGAGCCCACAATAATCATATTATCTAAAAATAAAAATGGTAGACTGCATATCAGTAAGTATATCAGCAGATAGCATTAGTTATAACTGGACTAAAAAAATATAGTTACTAAAAGAAGTTTGAGGCCAATAACACAAGTCATTTACATGTTTTTATCATTGCAATTTTCATACTTGTCGAAAACAATACTAAATCTATATTCTTGAAGAACAAAATATAAGAAAAATAATAAATTTAAGAGAAGATTAAAGAAAACAGTAGTTATCTATGATAAGAGAGAAACCTAAATTTAGAATTGATGTGGATATTAAGGTGTATGGAAATGTAATCTCTCATATATTTTTTGAAGTAATTTCAATTCCCTTTTTTACACGATTGAAAACAAAAAGGAAAAATAGATTGCAATACGATATGCATTTTTGAAAAAAAATATTCTACACTTTTATATACTTGAATCTCAAGGGTGTATACAATGTAAAAGCAACCAATGGAAAAAACTCTTAGCAATATTTCCCCTGTTGCAATCATCCATGATAATTACAATTGGAAAACATTGAAACTCTCTAGAATCTCTTTTCCCATGTCCACTCGTTGATAGTTGACGGTAAAAAGTAGAAAAGAATTGAAATCAAATTAGGGTTCATATAGATTACAAACCAGTGGGAAGATGATGATACGACAAGGATCAATGATGGCGTTCTTATTTGATTCAGTATTCCTAATATTTGCGGTGAAGAATGGGGCAAATGCATGTTCGTCGCGTAATAATAACAATCCGTTTTGTGGAAATATGCTCGGGTTTTTATGATGATGAACCGTTGCGTGTGTTCGGAGATGTGTAGAATCGAGGTGTAATCGGAACTGGAAAAGGTGTATTATGCGATGATCAGGAAGATTTAATTTATATTTCTGTATGTTATGTCATTCCGGGAGTGGGGTACGCGGAGGAACTTGAACGCTATGAATATCATATAGAAGGCACCAAAATAAAAGGTCTTATGTTTTTTTTTTTAATAATTGAAACAGAGAAGAAGAAGAAAAGTGTAAGCGATAACTCTTTAAAGGATGGAGATAGGAGGACACGAAGCTAACATGCGGATTTGGTTTCGTTTTCTTGACAGACAAAGAAGAAGACAAGGAGGGGAGAAAGGGAAACGGTACTTATGAAATGAGTCGGTGTTGATAGTGTAGACCGGCGGCAGTGAAATTGAGAATCGATGGAGGTGGTGGTGTGTCAATGGCTCCTTTTGAAGATGCAATGTTCTGGATCGATATCAATGCATATGACATCAGTCGGAAGATAGGGTATGTGGCATCTTTGGAAACCGGTGATATTGGTGTAGGCGGCATGAGAAAAACAAGGTTTTTATTATAATAATGATATATATATATATATATATATATATATATATATATATATATATATATTTAGGGTCATTTTCTATCAATATCCATATTTTTTATGGACACGTGTTGCTTCTGCCTTTGCTATTTTTTCTTTACCTTATCTTCATCAGTCTCTAGATCTTCCATATCGCCTCTCTGAAATATTGCATGTGACCGTCTCCATCTCTTACTTCTACTGATTCTTTTCTCCATATGCATTACAGTCATATTAACCTTTCTTTTTTCGATTTCAGGCACAAGCATATCGGACGGCACCACTTCCGTCGCGGCCTCTGTCGGTCAGTCTACTTCTACTTGTCGGCTTTAGCCGCTTTTCCTTCTCCGATCGTTGATGTTTTACTCTCCTTCGGGTTACTTCCATATGTTTGTCTATTTGTCGATGCTTTTATCTTTCTACTTTTCACCATATGCTACTGCTTCTTCACCATCACCATCTATCGGCTTTGGTTCTCTGGTAGGTGGGCTTCGCAGAACCAACAAAATCGCAAGGCAATAACGTTTTTGGGATCCGGTGGTGGTTTCATATCGGCCATACCTGACGCAATCCACTCTTCCTCACCTACAAGACACAAGTAAGGGAAAACAGAAATCGGGGGTAAACCACAATCGATATGTGAATTCGATAAACCTTGGTGCAGACCAAGACCGAGATAGCCCATATGGCTAATGGTAGAGATATCCTATATGACTAAGAGTAGAGATAGCCTTGTGGCTAAGGGTAGAGATAACTTTATAGCTAATTGATATGTGTATGTGGTAGAGGTAGCTTTATAGCTAAGTAATATTTGTATGTGGTAGAGGTAGATTCTATAGCTTGCATGTTATGTGGTTGTTGTGTGGGATATGCTCTGGGGAACTCACTAAACTTCGTGCTTACATGTTTGTTTATGGTTTCAGGTACTTCAGATTCCAAGGGCAAGGCGTGATTGCGCGGTGTGCACTCTCTTACAGACTTTTGGGACACTCTGATGTTTGGAATAAAAGTTACATAATCCCTCATTTTGGGTTGCAATCCTGCCCTAGAAAATGATTTTTTTTACTTTTGATTTTTATAGTTCACCATCACCAATCTCTCCCTTCTAACGTAGCCTACACAATCGTTGTCCCACCCAAGTATCTCTTTCTCCACTGTTTGTGCTTAGGAGAAAAGACGACACCATCGTTATCCCATGGGTTTTCTATTCAACGGACTATTCATTTCATGCTTCCTATCTAATTATTTACTTATAGAAGAATCAGATTGATTCAATTTTAATAGTTTATTATGACTTACATTTTCTTCTTATAATATTACAGGTGCGGATTCAAGAGGGAATACAAGGAACGTTTTGCTGACAATAAATCAATGGAATTAGACTTAAAGGTATGACTTAAATATATTTTGGATCTAATTGTATTCCATGTAATGTATTATGAAACGAAATTGTAAGTGGGTGACCATTTCTGACTCAGTAACATCTCTTCACAAAATTTAAATATATAATCACCATAAAACTTCCATCCACTTTATTTTCAAACATATATAGCACTTGTGTAATGTTGTTGAGTATATTAATTATCTTTGTACATAGGAGAAAGGTCCTTATTATGAGATGGCAACAGTCAACAAAGTGGAGAATTACAGAGTTATCGAGAAGAAAACACACTATGAAATCGCCATGACATGTCATATTTATCATTGACTTTGTTGTAGAATAACAATCAGAACTTTTTATTGTTTCGTGACTATTTCAATTTCTATCATAATAAGATTCACATGTACAAACTTTATTGGATGTATGAATCATGGCTCTAATGGGGTTATTATTATTAATCCTTTTTTTGTGTGTTATTAATTTTCTTTTTGTTGGATTTATGAAATAGGGCAACAATATGTATGTTATTTTTAATTTTTTTTAGCAGCTAAGTACAAGAATCTACAAATTCTCTACATCAGGTAAGCCTTTTTTTTATGACTGATATCCAATCTCTGTTGATTTGAATTATGCTAAATTGAACATCATTTATAGATAGTGATGGAATTGTGCTGCATGTTGTCTGTATGTTTATGTCTGTTTGTTCATTTTCTTTTCTTTTCTGACTAGTCTTTGCTCTTCCACATGAATCAGGTGAGTTCTATTTAGAAAGATTAGGTGAGTTTCATTTTCTTCTCTTTTCTTTTAACTGCTTCCATGGACTAAATGCATGTTGTGTCAGTTAGTGTTCAGTCATTATATTTACCAGTAAAATCTTTTTTTTGGTAGAATTACATTTTCACGCACATCATAATTGTTATGGTCCATATGGTAATTCTCGAGAATATACTCCTTTCTCACACAAGGGTAAAGGTTAGGTGATTGTTGGTTTTTGTGGACGTCTTAACCAACTCATCGGGTCTTTTGGGTTTTAAATCATGCATATAGCACCAACAATGGATCAAAAGACTACAATTGAAGAAAATTCTAGATTTGAGGTGAAATCTATCATCTTTTAATCTGTATGAAATATTTGTAGCATTCAATTGATTGAATACGTTCCTTTATTTTGTTAGACTGCTATTCTCCTTCACATTTTACAATCTTTTCATTACAGGGAAAGAAAAAGCAAGAATAAAAAAGTTGTAATTTTTGTAGTATATCAAGTATAATTATAAAAGCTACTATTAAACTAATGGTCCAGTGATTTTAACAAAAACAATTTACAAGTTTGTTAATGCTTTAAAATTGATTGTGTGAAATTCAAACTATTTGGGCGGTCATCTTTATAGCTATTTTTTAAATGTTACCTATTTGACCCATGTCAATAAATATAAATCAAATTGACCTGTATTTATATAAATGTCTTTGGATTCTAAAATACCCCTGGATACAGCTCCTGTACTCAAATATGACATAGTGTAGTAATTTCTGACACTGGGTTCTATAAACAGTTCCTAAATGCAAAGTTTTTTTGGTTAAAATCAAATACAAAGTTTTTTTGGTAAACACTTCTGTAAACTACCCCTACATACTGTTTTTATATTAGAAATTTTCGATTCTAACATTTTTGGACCAAACTGCCCCTGCATGCTGTTTCTATAGTTAAAAAGTTTGATTTTAAGATTTTTGGACCAAACTGCCACTACATGTTGTTTTTAAACTTAAAAAGAATCATTTTAATAGGTTTGGACCAAACCGCCCCCGCATACTATTTTTATAGTTAAAATTTTTGATTTTAACAGTTTGGACCAAAATGCTCCTGCATAATGTTTTTATAGTTAAAAAAGTTTGAATTTAACAATTTTGGATGAAACTGTCTATGCATACTGTTTTCATAGTTTTTTTTAATAGTTTTTGACAAAAGTATCCCTAAATACCATTAATTTGGTAAAAAATTTATTCATTTCAACACTTTTTGCCCAAACTGTCCATACATAATGTTTTTTGGTAAAAAATCATGGGAGTGCGACTCGACAAAATGTTATATTATGTGTGTATATATATATATATATATATATATATATATATATATATATATATATATATATACACACAAATAATGTATGTTTCTTTATGAAAATGGAATAAGATTGCTCTATCAAGAAAGTGTATGGACGGTGTTAGATTGATACAATAAGTTTGACACGATCTAAAATGATCTTAAAATGAGTATTTATTTTCTGATTTATTTTATTTAGATGATGTTAAGAATTCCATAAATATAAGCCATTTCTGATGAAGTTGGAGGTGGCTAATACTGTTCATGTTGCCTATCTTCTGTCTCATGTATGCTTCTTACATATGAAGATTTTACAACCTCATTTCAGATTCGTGCAACAAAATGCATCCTTTGTTATTGATTTTGTCATTTGGCGGTGCAGCGGTGAAAGATTTAATTGCATGGTTCTTGGTACTATTGGCTATAACATCATTTAAAAATACCATAACAGAACTATGCGGGTGATTCGTCTGACTTTCTTGATTTCAAATTATAGTTCAATGTGTAAACAAGAGATAACTATAGGATAATAATAATATAGGATAATGATAGTCTTTGTATTTATTGTAACTATCTCTTCCTATTGTTTAGTTTAGTTTGCTTTTATCTCAAGTATGTATTCCCTGTATATGACATTTTTTTTATTTGAGAGAAATTCAATGATCAAGAAGATTGTTTCTATTACCATCATATTTTAGATGGTATCAGAGTAGGTTTCAAGATACTAAACACAAGAACCCCTCCAGCTTCGATCTTGAAGAATGGCAGGAGACGAACCCAAAAACAAAGAAGACACAGGAGAGAGTTCTGTAATCGATCATATTTCTCCCTATTACATTCACCCCTCAGATTCCCCAAAACAACTTCATGTGAATAACGTCCTTATCGATATCAACTACATTGACTAGTCCCAGGAGATGGATTCCTTCTTGCCAAAAATAAAATTGAATTCGTGGATGGCACAATCAAGAAACCAGAAAAAAGGAACCTCAAATTACATGGCTTGGATGAGATGTGATGCAATGATAAAGGCTTGGCTTACGACTGTAATGGAAAAGAACATATGTAACAGCGTGAAATATGCAACCACTGCTTCACAGATCTGGAAAGACCTTCTTGAACTGTTTGGCAAAGAAAGCTCTCCTAGAGCTTATGAACCGAGGCAAAGAATAGCAACAACTCGACAAGATGGGGCCTCCATTTCCACATACTTCACGAATCTTAGATCTATGTGGGATGAGAATGCATCTATTCAACCACTCCCACGTTGTGCTTGTGATGGTTGTTCATGTGATCTCGGAAAAAGGATGGATGAGTTTCAAGAAAAGGAGCGTCTGTATCAGTTTCTTATGGGACTTGATGTTGAGTTTCATGTCATCAAAAAACAAATCCTAGCAACGAAACCTATTCCTACTTTAGGTAACGCATATCATCTGGTGGCAAAAGATGAAAGGCAAAGGTCAATATCTAATGATAAGAGAGTCCAACCAGAGGCTGCAACATTCAAGGCATTTTAGAAGAAAGACGGAAATCACAACACGTTCAAGGAGAGGAACTTGACCAGGACCACTAAAGACAACAAGAAAGGCAAAGAAAATGACCATTGCACATTTCATGGAAAGAACGGACACAAGAGAGAAGGGTGTTTCAGGCTGGTGGGATACCCAGAGTGGTGGCCAAGAAAGAAAGAAAAAAGGAAAACCAAGAGCAGCCCATATAGAGCCACAATCTAGCCCATTACGAGAATTGACACATGAGTAGTATCCACTTTTCGTGAAGCATTTTTCTGAAAATAACGATCATGAAGTCACTCCACATGTTGCAAACTGTTGGATTAGTGTCTAACTCCATAACTATTTTGGTATGTACTTGACCCGATGGTGCATGGTCCTTTTGGGTTGCCTTCACCAAAGCAACTTGATTGGAGAAATAAATAAAGAGAGACAGGATATTATGATTTATTAATATGTTATAAGAATAATATATTAAAGGAGAAATCATATTTGTTTAATTAATATTGGTCAATAATTAATTAGGAATTAATTTTGTGATCAAGTGTAATTAATTAAACTAGAGGGGCTGATTTGTAATTATGTGATAGTTACAAAATAAGGTAAGGATTATCTTAAATATATGGTGAACGAATTTGAGGTGATAAAGCCTTAGAATTCGACTATGATAAGGATTCAAGGATTATCTTATGGGTTGCTTTGTGGATAAGCAACTAGATAAGGATAATGACTGAAACCCTATCTCTATACCTATATAAACATCCCTTAGCTCATGAATTCGTGTATCCCTTCTCAAGAAGCCCTAAGGACGAATTCTAACCTCTCTCCTCTCTCTTTATACCTTCTCCATTTGCTTATGGTGTTTGTGAACCATTAGAGGAGTGACACTTGTGACTCTAAGCATTCCAAAGTCAATTCAAGGAGGAATTAGGATTGTTATTACTCTATAACAATCAAGGTATGTTCTTAAACCCATTCATATGTTAATATCAATTTCATATACTTGAATTAGGGTTTATAGTCTTGGATTCAAAGCATGTACAATAGAGAAACCTAGATCCAAGCATTAGGGTTTGTATGAGCACATAGGATGTCTTATGACCAAAACCCATTAGTGGTATCAGAGCCTAGGATGGTTTCAATTGTATTGATACATTGTATACCTAAAAAAAATTCAATTTTTGATGTTTTAGAGGCTGGACTCGCCGAGTCCAGGGTGACTCGACGAGTCAACTCGTCAGATAATGCTTATCTCGGGATTTGTTGCTGTTTTTGCATATGGATAGTTACCTTATCATGTTAGATCAATATTAATCCGATTATATGATATATTTGACTATATTTTTGATCTAATTGAAGATATTTATCTATTAATAAGATGATTGTTTCCTTATAAGATAATTGATTAATTATTTTGAGTAAATTGATAAATTGTTTTGCAAGAAATCATTAAACAAATCAAATATGGATAATTATGTAATTAAATGTTAGTTTAGATTATTTGTTATTTGATCCTTGTTGTTATGAAAAGTTTCATATTTTACCCTTTAGGTTTTATAGTTTAAATTTGAACCCAAAAGTTTTGTTGTTTTGAAATTTAAATAGTTAAAATCCTAATGTTTTGAAAAAAGTTTCAAAACTTGCCCTCAAGTTTTGGAATTTAAATTTTGATTAAAAAGTTTAATTTTGATGTATATTTAAATTCTAACCGTAATGTTTTGAAATATTTCAAAACTTGCCCTCAAGTTTTGGAATTTAAAAGTTGATTAAAAGTTAATTAGGAATGTTAAATTCTAAAACCCTAGAAATGTTTTGAAAAGTTCAAATACACCCTTATGGTTTTATTAATTAATTAAGGA